TTTTGGCGGCGAAGGGAGGGATGGAATGGCTCAAGGCAGTGCCTTTCGAGAGAAGTCCGAAGCTACAACCTTGAAATCATCAACCTTGAGACAAGCTCCTCTCTTAACATCGACCTCAGTCTTTGCTTCAATCGTCAATTTCCTCCCTCAGATTCCCTTCTTCCTCTCTTCTAGATTTGTCCTGCAGCTCACGATAGACTCAATTGGCGCTTGTGTACGATACGACCACTTCTGCACCACCTTTTATAGTAATCTACGGCACGTCGCGTTTGGGAAAATAAGTCGGTCCACGGTTCCGTCCTGCATCAATTGCAGCCTGGCCGCCCACCATGATCCTCGGACCGGTATCACTGCTCGACTGTCTGGTCTTTGTCATCTTCCTGACGCCGCAGCTCCTCATCAACGTTGGTTTCTTCCCAACGGTGGTGGTCACCTTGAAGATGCTGCCGTTTCTCGTGGTTCAACTGCCGACTTCCCTGTTCCGCGAGCGATGTTTTCTTAGCCACGACGAGCAATCGCCCTTTGTGCAGCGCGCGAGCTTCTTCGAAGATTTAGTCATACGCTGTGTGCGTTACGCCTTTGCAAACTTGCCAACCAACATTGGACGTGTCTTCTTTTCAAAGTACATATCTCTGCCGTTTCTGCGGTTTCGAATGCTGCGGCATGGCTATCTCAGGTCACCTGCAACCTGGAGTGAGCACAAGGAAAAGGTGAGTGTAACCTACATCTCAGTGCATAATGGCCGGTGGCTGAATTGAATGATAGGGCCAACACGGCTTCGAAGGGGTCTGGATTCAAAAGGATGCGTCGCAACCGCCAGACGTTGTGGTATACTACGCCCACGGAGGCGGTTTCGCCATGGGTTCCGCCTACTTTTACCTCGAATTTCTCCTGTCGTGGCACTCGCTACTCGTTCAAGCCGGCTACCAGAACCCTGCAATATTCTCTCTCGAGTACACCCTCGTGCCCGATAAAGTGTACCCGAGGCAAATGTACGAGACTTTGAGGGGCTATAAGCATGTTCTGAAAAAAGTTGGAGACCCCCGGAAGGTGGTCGTTGCAGGAGACTCGGCGGGAGCAACCCTGATATTGACGCTGTTGCTGGAGCTGGGCCACATGAACGAGGCCCGGGCATTCAAGGAAAAGAGTGACGATTCCACTGCATCTGAAGGTCGAAGCCAGGAGCACTTGCGCCAGGCGTCAGAGTCCCCGCTTCCAGGGCTTTGCGTCTTGATTTCGCCATGGGCCAAGCTCATCTCCAACAAGCATGAAAATACGGCTAGCGACTTTCTGGATCGCGACACGCTGTGGAAATACGCGGTGCAGTATGCTGGGGCAGCGCATGTCTACGACAAGACCGCGTCGCCTGGGCAGTGCGCCGATCCTCGGGTGTGGGCGGAAGCTAGTCCACTTTGTGGCTTCTTCATCACGTACGGATCAGAAGAGGTGTTCGCACTCGACATCAAGGACCTGATTAACGTCTTGGTCAAAAGTACCGAGGTCGACAGTCGCAGCGAGGATGGCGGTATTCACGCCTGGCCCGTTGTTTCGTTATTCTTGTCAAGCACCGAGGACAAGAGACTCAAGGGTCTGCGGACACTCACGTCAGCCATCAGAAAACACATTTAGTAGAAAGCCTATTAAATGCAGATTGTTGTTTTTAGAAAAAAAAAGTCTGATTAGATCAAGTAAAAACTGTCATAGACCGAGGCACGCCAACCTCGAAACCTGAGTTGGGAAAACTCGGTTTCTACAGTCGTGGCCTCTTGAGGTGGTCTCCAGCTGTTTCTCTTCGTTATCTTCATCCCTGGCCACCAATAGGATATGGCGTAAACAATAGAATTTAGTGATTTGATTACCTGCATGATTGAGTTGCGTTCCTGCATACCGGGCCGTCCGCCGACAGGAAATTGCGACGGGTAGTAGGGTGATATCTGTTCAGAGAAACGGCGACAAACATTTCGCGAAGACGCGTTGAAGGATGCAGACAAGTTCTTCGTAGGTAGCCCCGCTGCAAAGTTGCTTTGGCGGGAAGGGCGATTGGCGACCTAGACGGGGGAATACTCACTCGAGGTGCCGTCGCAAAGCTCGGACGGGCAGGGAGCTGTGGTGGGTCTCGGATGAAGTCACATGTGGTTCAAACAGTGACGAGTTGAGGAGCGCGACGGCTTTGCGACAGAAAACATCTTTTTCGGACGACGGGGTTCCTCGACGATGGCGCGCTGCAGCAAGAGCTCGTCTGCCTAGGGTGCAGGGAGGGTGCCAGCTCCAGGCAGCGTTGAGGGTAGATGGCGGCGGGGTTTGACGATGTCGGGTGTCTCATGGAGACAAAGCAAGCTCGTATGTAGGTCAGGGCCACGAGGTATCAAAGCATGTCGAGAATGAACAAGTAAATGAGACAAGATATTGTCGAAGTTCAAGGTTGCGCCATAAACCAGGGCAGGTCTAGAATCTGGAAACGGGGGCCGAAATTATTGATGAGGGAGCTGGAGCTGAGACGGTAAAAGAGATCAGCCAGCCTGCCGTGGCCTACCTTGCTTCGGTTGAGCCATCTTTTTCAGCCTGCCTCACGTTACTTCGCGCCTTGAGATGCAGCCACGTCTGCGAGGTTGCGACATGCGGCGGCAAGCTGGGACGAAGGGGGAGACATCGACCATGTGGCGAAATCAGTGATGACGCCGATGAGCTGCGACTATTCTGGCGCGAACAGGATGGCTGAAGAGATCCAGGTGCAAGTTGGGGGGGTGAAGAAAAAGAAGCAACGGAAAGAGGAGGACAAAAGAAGCGTTGTGCAAGAAATTGAATTGAAGAAGGACGTGCCGACGTGGGCGCAATGTGAACATTCAGGACGCCTTGAAGATACCTTACCATGCTCCCTCATGGAAGGAAGGTGCCCAGTGGATGGCCAGGCAGGTACCGACAGAGCTTAGCTAGCGCGGAAAGGTACAGAGGCCGTCAAGCAGGGGACTAGCGGCTGTGCTCATGCAGGATTTGGGAAGGCGTGGCCACAGCTCGGGCATCCTGACCCAATCAGCATGGCAGCGTGACCCCTGCCTGGGCGTGTCTTTGGGGAGGGACGTAGAGAGCAGCAAGAAAGGGGAGTTGGGAAGGAGCTCTGACCCGCGACGCGCATATAAACGGTGGACATTCCCACCGTGATCCATCGCCAGGAGTGAAGGAACCCGCACACCGCGAAAAGAAGGAGCCCACCCAGCCGCTGGCTGCACCTGCCACCGACCGCACCGCACCGCACCCGCACCTACCGCACCACCGCACCGCATCGCCGTCCGCCCCTCCGCAGTTTCTCGACCCGTCGCATCGTCCCACGGCCGTCGCTCCTTCTCTCCCATTCAGCCTCCTTCCTATCCAATCATTCCCATTCGTTCCAGCCCATCTACCACCTCAATTTCCAGGGCAGGTTCCAACAAGGTGTACAGTACACCTTACTTGGTTTGCTTGCGCCAAGAGTGTACCTTCCTGTACTTGTGTGCGTCTGCGCCTACCTTCTTGCCGCCTGGCCTTGCCTCGTCTGCCTGTCAGACCGACTGCATCCTTCCCGATGGACGCATGTCAACTTTGAGGCTCGATTGACCGAACCTTGCCACCTGGACTTGGAAAAAAGACCAACGCCAACAAATCCTCCTCCTCCTCCTCCTCCTCCTCCTCCTCCTGCTCCGTACATAACTTCACTTTACAATCCCGTTCAAACGCAACCCCCTTTTCCCCCATCCTGAACATCTCCCACCACTACAACAGAGCATCAAGCGGCTTCCGAAAGTACCGCTGCTGCCCCGCACAGGAACGCCTGACGACGTCGCACGCCCCAGGACTGAACCCCGAAAACCCCAAGCTTACAGAACTCCCGTCACCCCTGGCTCGCTAGACACACCGAAACCTTATCGAGTGTCACTTCCAGGCCCCAGGTCTGACTCAGCAAAAACGCCATTTACACACCTTGGATCGACAGACTACCTATTTGGCATATCAACATCTCGGACGAGCCTGTGTCACAGCCACGCTCCTAACGACAATCAGCATTCACCACCCACTCAGGCCACACTGAGTCTCTGACTTTCACGCGGTCTGGGATACGTAGACGGCTTTCCGAAGCAACACCAGGATTGGCCAGTTGCGACGTTGGTTCTCGACACACACGCACGCACTCACTGAGCGCCCAGTGAGCCTGGATTTTCTCTGTACTGCAAGTGGCCGGTCCATTTTGCTGGACCTGGGAAGCAGCTTTATCCTCGATTTGCAAGTTTGCAAAGCGGTTATCCGTACAGCCCTGCTCAACATCCTGCCATCCACCGTTCAGGTCCGACACACTGTTGCAAACACGCTAGGGTCCTGAGGATACCACGAATCCTTCATGTTGTAGGCCGTGTCTTGGCTTTGATCTCATCTCTTCGTCATTCGCTCCTGTATCGCAGCGCTGCCCAACACGTTGGCCGAGGCTGTCTTACACACGCAAAAAGACCCCACACTTTCACAAAGGCGTTTGCGCTCTGTCTCGTCTTGTTATCATATTCAAGCCAAGCTTCGCAGCAATACTTTGCCTCGCTTTACTTTCATCATCAACACGATTTGTCTTGGTCGTACGGCCATCGAAGTTTTACACCTTTTGAATCCCGAGGATATATGACGGTGGAACAGACCATCAGCCCATTCACCGCACGTAGCAGCCCAAGTCTGAATCAGGACTTATACGCTTCCCAGGACCTATATCCACTCAGCGACTAAAGACGAAACACATCCATCATTAGACGCAATCACACAACCATTGCAAGGTTATTCGTGCTGAAGCGGACAGTATACCATCTACGGGCAAGAAAGAGGCGGGGGTGTAGGCTGGCTTTTGTACTCAAAAACCAGTCCCTGCCCTTCGCTTAATCATCCAGTGTCCCACGCCAGCCCAACTTGGATTGGAACCTTGGCCTTTTTTTTTTCGGGGCACCAGTCAAGGCCCCCTGTCATTTGGCCTCCACTTCAAAATTGGAAGGAAAAAAAAAAAAAAAAAAAAAAAAAAAAAAAGCGGCCATCAATTTTTCCAGAAGGGCCGGAGGTAGAGGGGAAAAAAGTGATAAAAATGGCGGACGACACGACCTACGCACCAAAGTCGCCGGACCTCTCTTCTTTTTTCTCGGCAGCACCCGCCCCGCCTACACCTCCACTGCACACTCACAGTCTGCAGCACTACCAGCAACAGCTGAGCAAGCTGCAGACCTCTCCGTCTCCCTCTGCGTCTGCTGCACCACCGCCCGTATATGAATACTCCTCCCCCTCAGCACGCATTCACCACCCAAGCCAGTCATCTTTTACTCCTGTTCACATCAAACAAGAGCAGCCCCACTTTCCATCACCAGCGGCAATCAAAACGGAATTCTCTTCCTATCAGCCACCGCTACAACCCCACCACCACCACCAAGGTCAGCACCAGCACCAGTACCAACCGCTTCAGCAGCAACAGCAGCACCAACACCAACAGCATTACCTGTCGCCTCAATACCACCACCAGTCGCCGCCACACAACCACCCATCTCCGCAACATCCCCCACCACATATGCAAAGCGCGTATGGGATACAGCCCGTTCTCAATTATCAGGAACAGCAACCTCATCAGCCCAAAACACCTCAAAGCCAAGGATTTCTAGACCAGAAAAACTTTGGCGGACCACCCCAATTACACGATATCCCCTACAACCCGGATACACAACATCTACCACAAACACCCGCTTCAGCAACCATGCCTCCCAGAAAGAACACAAAGCAGGCTGACTCGCCACCTCCAATTGATCCTTCACCCGTTCGGACAAAGTTCCCCACAGCTAGGATAAAGCGTATCATGCAGGCTGATGAGGAGGTTGGCAAGGTCGCCCAGCAGACTCCCATTGCTGTTGGCAAGGCCCTCGAGATGTTCATGATTGCTGTCGTCAGTCGAAGTGCCGAAATCGCACGGGAGAAGAACTCCAAGCGTGTCACGGCTCAGATGCTCAAGCAAGTCATCGAGACAGATGGTCAGTATGACTTCTTGGCCGACATTGCCGCAAAGGTTGGCGACGAAGAGAAGAGAGGCGGCCGCTCCAAGGCCGAGTCGTCAAGCGACGAGGAAATGGAAGTTGAGACGAAGAAGAAGGGCAAGGGTGGCCGTAAGAAGAAGGCTGCTGCATGAGTTCTCTCATATTCAGCTTGGGTCTTGGGGTGAGGGGAGGGGAGGGAAACTTCCCATGATGAGAAATATGACAAAGGGTTATGAGGATTGGCGTTGGACTGGCTAGCATCTACATCGGCGTTGGGTGACACGGCGATAAACTCGTCGAGCCGCACCTGGGGGGAAATATTACATGGTTTACCTTATGGAAAGGAGGAACAAGCGCTGCTTCCTCGACTTGCATGCCATGGACGGCTTGTCTTTCTATATGCGCTTCGAGCATGTCTTGGACAAGCCTTCTTACGATTTTAGAATGAAAGCATTTTATCAATTGCACACCTTTCCTCTCATAATGCATATGGGATGATGATGATGAGCCGCGCCGAGGAGCGTCTTGCTGAGGTAGGTACCTTCACCAGGGGACGTCTCATGTGGAACTCACTTTCAACTCACTCAAAGACACCCTGCTCATAGTCATATGAGGCGGCTATATTTTATCGATGCTGTGGCACATTTGAGCTTGACATTGTTGCCTGACTATGCTTCGTAGAGTGACATTCTTCATTCTGCCCTGTCTGTCAATGAGACTCTCACTTCACAGGTTTACCATGGGAAATATCACCGCTGAAAACTGAAAAAGGACACTCAGGAATCGAATGCAAATAACGTCACATATGCAGATAAAACGAAGATGCCCCGCAGACATGGGTTTGGCCGTCGCCCCCATTTGTCCTAGCGCACGACCTTGATCCTCTCGGGTCCGGCACTCTTGTTCTCAAGGTGCGGCTGGCCCCCCCTTCACAGAGGCTCCCGTCCTCAGACAGCATGAGGTGGTCCGCCCAAGGTTCATGCTCGCTGAGGTAACCGGCGACGTAGTCTAATTTGAGGCCAGAAATTTTAGGCACTAGCACTGGGAAACGGCGGGTCGTGCATGGGGCATTCCTCCCACCTTCCAAGTCATGCCCTCAGATTAGTGGACAAATCGACATCCAATTCACGGCGGAGAGGGAGCTACCTATCTGCATCGAGTAACCGGCCACCGTGTGTACCTGGGCGTCTTGTCTTCCATCCTCTTGCGTGCCCTGCTGCGACTGCTCGAACAATTCTCCCAAGTCTTCTGAGCTTCCCGCCATGCGAAACCATCCCTCGACCTGCGAATCCCGTTCATGTCCATGATCAAATGAGGCACCGAGCCTCGCTGCACTTGCATCCTTCATTCCGCTCCGTGGCGTAACCAATGTCGTGGGACCTGCTCAAGCGATTCCTTGAGTCCGACGTCTTCAACTCGAACCCCTTTCTCTCGGTCTCCTACCTTTCGTGAGCGACCCTCCTCTTGCGCCCACCCGTCGCCGTCACGCGTTATGCTCTCAATTGATGCATGTTTCGGCAATTGACAATCGGAGACCTCTCTGCTAACCCCTGATCTCTCCTTCATCTAGTCGTTACGCCGACCATGTGGGCATTCACTATGTCCTGTGCAATAAGCTGCGACAATTCCCCTACGAGGATATCGAGTTCTTCCTGCCGCAGCTATGCCACCTAATAATCAGCGTCGACAACGAGTCCATGGCCTTGGAGGAGTTCCTCCTGGACTTGTGCGAAGAGTCCGTCACCGCTGCGCTTCTGGTTCGTTTCGTCTCCCCGCTGTTGCGCTGCCGTATTCGCTCACAATCTCCTAGACATTCTGGCTATTCCAAACGTATCTACACGATCTATCGTCCAATCCGTCGTCCAAGGCCTTTCAAACATGCCGGAGGGTATACAACAAGGTGCAGCATATTGTTTTCGGCCTACCAGATGCTGCGAGGCACGATAAGATCAAGGAGAACATCTTGCCCGTCACGGTCCTGGCCAGCTTCGTCTTGGCTAGTGTCGCGGTGCCACTAGTCCCACAGTGGGCGGGACCACTTGCCGTGGCACAGGCTAGGAAGCCTCAGCCGTCCGACGACCTCATATCCGATTCTCGAGATAGCAACCCCAAGACAGCGCAGGTGACGCGAGCCCACACGGTGACGGCTGGGAGCACGAGGTCTAGGCGTACGAAAGATGGTGGGCGGATGGTCAGCACGCCGGATCTGGTATCCCCAGGTGTCGCGTCGTCTAATTTGCAGCATCGGTCGACGGATCCATCTCCGTCTCGGCCGGGTTCCTCTGGCTCCAAGACCCCCATCGAAGTCAAGCGTCTCTCGTCTCATCTCAACATGAAGAACGATGACGCCCGGCTGAGCTCCTCTTCGCTACCTCTCCCCGAGCTACGTTCTCCAAGACTAGCCATAACGAGACCGGCAACACCAGTATCGGCAGGATTTCCCCCACGCCCTAACGATGCTCTGAACAGGAGACATTCCCTTCACTTCAAGAGCGGTGCCGCCGGTTCTGAGTTGACAACGCTTCAAAAGACAAGACTACTTCGCCAACACTACTTTAGGTGTGAGACGCAATTCCTGACTGCGCTAGAGGGTATCTCGAACAGGCTTGTGATCGTGCCAAAACCCGCTCGGCTCAGTGCTCTTCGCGCAGAGCTGGCCCTCATCGCGCAAGACCTGCCGGCGGAAGTGGACGTTCCAGTGATTTGCCCACCTACCCTGGTGGATGGTTCCCCAGCAAAGAGTCGGCACCATAGAATTGTTCGTCTGAATCCAGGAGAGTCGACAGTGCTAAACAGCGCAGAGAAGGTGCCATATCTTCTCATGGTTGAGGTATTGAGAGATGACTTCACATTCGATCCGGATACGCCAGATAACAAGAGGCTCTTGGCCACTCTCCTATCCGATCCCGGCCATACCCGACGTATTTTTGACCTTTCCGACTCACCTCGCATACCCATAGCGCCCAAAACACCAGAGACAGTAGTTGACAGCGTGTTTGAGCCGATTTCTGGCGACTTGGGAAGCTCTCCCCTGATCAAGCCGTACGATGATGATCCTTTCCAGAAACCCCAAGGAAAACAGGTTCCGCCGTCGCAGCCTCAACGTCTTCCGAGCGCCGGTACATCTGCCATGTCGACTGTTATGTCAGAAATCACGACTCCACGGAGCTCTAGAACATCAACCTCGAGATCGAGCAGCCCAACAGGTCCACTCCGCAAGATGACACTTTCCTCACGGCCTAATGCCGTAGTTGATCAACCAGATTTCTCCGCGCTCGCTACCCACATGCGCACCGCTTCACAGATGTTGGCTCAGCTTGAAGCTACGAGCGGCAAGCGACCACGACATGAAGTACAGGCGATCCGAGCCAAGATTATTGCGAGCATGCAAAGCCTGGAAGAGCAGAGCTTCGATATGGACGAGCAGGGCCCGACCTTCGACACCATCATTGCCAAAGCTTCTACCGCTCAAGCAAACTCTGTCATTACAGCTCCTGAGGCTCCTGAAGCCGAGAGCGAATCTCCCGTTGAACCGGGGCCCAATGCTGGCGCAGGACTGGCGAGAATGGAGAATGATATCAAAACTGGTGGTATTCAGAGTAAGGGTGACCGCGATGATCCTAGTGCGGCTGTCTTTGGTGAGGCATGGCAAGCGAAGAAAGAACGCATCCGCAAAACTTCACCGTATGGATGGATGAAGAACTGGGACTTGGTCAGTGTCATTGTTAAGACCGGAGCAGACTTGCGCCAGGAAGCTTTCGCTTGCCAGCTCATTGACGTCTGTCATAAGATTTGGGTCGACGCGAAGGTCAACGTCTGGGTCAAGCTTATGCGGATTCTCGTTACGGGCGAGTCCTCCGGTTTGATTGAGACCATCACCAATGGCGTGTCGCTGCATTCAATCAAGAGAAGTCTGACGTTGTCAATGGAGACAAGTCCTGGTCAGAAACGCCGGTTTGCTACGCTGAGAGACCACTTTGTGAAGGCGTTCGGTGCTCCGGATAGCGAGCCTTTCAAAGCGGGTGTAGACGCCTTCAAACGCTCACTAGCCGCTTACAGCATGATTTCGTATATCCTACAGCTGAAGGATAGACATAACGGTAACGTCCTGATCGACAGCGAAGGTCATATCGTCCACATCGATTTTGGTTTCATGTTGTCCAACTCGCCAGGCTCTGTTGGTTTTGAGGCGGCACCTTTCAAACTCACTCAGGAGTATATCGAGGTGCTCGGTGGCATTGGGTCTGATGATTACGAAGACTACAAGAAGCTCTGCAAGCAAGCTTTCCAAGGTAAGTTCTGCATTGAGCCTGGAGAAATAACATTGCTAACTCAATTTCAGCTCTGCGGCGGTCTGCGGATAACATCATCGACTTGGTGGCCATGATGGGACGTGACTCAAAGATGCCATGCTACTCGGCGGGAGTTGTCCAGGCCACACACAATCTCCGCCAACGCTTCCAGCTGCAGCTGAGTGCAGACGAAGCGGAGCAGTTTGTGGAGACTGACCTGATTGGCAAGTCCCTGGGTAGCTACTACACACGGCTGTAAGTTTGAACAATGTCTTGTCCGCGAAAAGCTCATACTAACGTGACTTTCTAGCTACGACACCTTCCAATATAGAACGCAAGGCATTTACTAGACGGTTGTGACGAAACAAAAGAACTTCGATCAACAAGCTCTCGAAAGCATTGGGACATGAAATGTGCATCTAGGCATTTGGGCGGCGTTGCGGTTGAATAGACGACTGGACTGAACTGAACTGAACTGGCTAGGCTGGTAATGACGCAGCCGAGGAACGATCTTCTCGGTCATTTGTTATGAGTTGATGGAGGAGGGACAGTAGCTATCAAGAGAGGCATAGCAGATGACTGGCCGCTTGAGAGTTGAGCGCGATATATAGGATACCGAAATATGCTAAAATAACATTATATATTCAAAGACGAGATTGGAGCATCCGTCTCAGTGCCGAGATCTCGTTGTGCCTTGAGGTGTTTTTGTGCCGCGGGCCCCATCTGTGAATTAAAAGGGCGACTATTCGAGACCTCACGGCGCAGCTTCCCCCCTCCTACGATGTTTAGTCTTCGTCCACTTTCGCGAGATCGTCATTAAACTCGAATCCCTCTACGACATCGCAAAACAAATAGAGACCACTCCTTGCCGTAGTGTCTAGGTCGCATATGCAGTTTTCATAGATTATACGATGGCCCTACTGTCCCGCCGCCCGTACCCAATATAGAAGAACCTTACCTCGACCTAGCCTTGGGGGACGTCACCTAATCCTGAATCCTGAAGTTATATTATCCAGAGCTCGTTGAAAATTGATCTAACCTCACTTGGAGCAACGCGAGACGAGCACCCCGTAACTCATCCAAACTCACGCGATACTTGGGGATCAGAAAGAACCCCCTGCCGTGCAATGTACTCCTTGAGACATTCGCGAGGGTATATCACACATCTTCACTCAGCATATGAACTGCAAGTTTAGGCGGAGCTGCTACCTCGGAACCAAATACTGACACAATGCTCTCACAAGGTGTCGGAAACAACCATGCTATGGACTAGCAACGCCGGATAGAAGTCCAACTCTACGTCTCGTCCTTTGCCTCCATGACGG